GGGGGGGGGGGGGGGGTAAACGTCTATGTTGACTTTAGAAGTCAAACACTCTGCCTTTTGATTTCTAAACTAATACAAACTTAGTGTTATGTTAATCACAAGAAGGCCATATAAAAGTAAAGCCAATACATAAAACTGAAATAAAAAAGAATTGGTGCTTGATAAAGATGATCATATAAAATTGGAATTTTGGAATTGATAATTAATAGGATTGACTTGAAAAGTCAAGAATGAGGGAGATTAGATTGAAAGTGATGAGAGAAGGAAGACTTGAGAGTAGACTTTTGGAGGATTTTGTGGCCTCCACTGGTGGTGCTAGACCAACCCTTTTAACTAGGAACCATTTATCTTTTTGTTATTGGGTTGGGTTGGAGATTTCTCACATAAAACACTGTAAATTATATAGACCTGTCATTTATCTCAAAGAGTAGAATGACTGTTTCTGTTATCTTTATATATTTTGTAATTGTGAATACAAAAACGTTGTCAAACAAGACCAAGTGTTCCTATGCTGTTTTCTTCAATTGTCCATTCACCATTTTATTGGTCAATGGTCGTGTCTTCCTTTAGAATCCAAAATCGTATTTCGTTTACACCCGTGAGAACAAGCTGCTCAAGATTTTGTTGGTTTATACTATTTCCGTCTCTTTACCCAATTCGAATATCTTTTTCTATTTATGTAATTGTAATATTCAAATTTTAAACGGTTAAGTTTATTAGTGCGGAGTTTATCATCCAAATATATTTAAATCATAGAGGAAAAATCAGTCGAGAACCTGTTTTTTTTGGTTGAGATCCGAGAATCGCTCATAGCGCTCCATTTGTCATTCAAGATGAATATATGGACATGTTATTCATCATGAATCACACGTTAAGAACGAATATGGAAATATTTCATTACTTTGAATGATAATTGAGTATGTGAGTGCACTCGAATTAGCTCACTTTTTAGTGGTGGTTATATTCGAATACAGATTTTGATACCCGTTTATGGTTCGGTGCTCTAATATGGTGGACCCCAACCCCATGATGTAACTAAATTCATGTATGACGTGGCTTTCTTGTGTCACCTGCTATCTTTTTGGTTTCTAAGTACAAGAAACGGTACACTGTATCTATGTTTTATTCATTTTTTTGGTTGCTATTTACATTTAATTAAAAAAATAATAATTAAAGGGAATAAATGTATTTACGTTCAATTTAAAAAAAGATAAACTTAACTAATTTGGTTTTATGGAATGTTTTTTAAAACCTTTTATTTCGGTATTTTAAATTTGACATCTCAAGTATTTAAGTACCTGATTTTTACAATTAAGAATGTAAAGTATTTTGTGTAACGTGTTTTGGTTTAAATATTTGAGATATCAAATCTAAAATGTTTTAAAAACCGTTTCTACTGGTCAAATTTACCTTTTAAACATCTCTCTCTTAATTTTTTTAAAATGTCATGACATTCGCAACCGATATAAAAATATGAATGTTGGTTGTTTATTAAAAATTTAAAATAAAAACCATAAAAATGGTGCTTGATTGGTTTGAGCTTGATTCCAAATGTCAAAAGTACCTGGAGGTCCAGATTCAAATCCAAGGAGGAATAAAAATCCCTTTGTGGCCACGGAAGTTCAAATGCGGTGACTCTGAGCTATCTGCAAAGCAGGTGGTCGTCCTGAGATTAGTCGGCTCGCATAGCGGGTTGGATATCCAGGTTAATAAAAAAAACAATATGAATACACCCGTATGTGGGTATTTGGTTTGACAGATTGCTTTTAGGGTGCGTTTGGTATGTGGAACAAGGTGGGACAGGACAGAACAGGACACACTTGTCCCATGTTTGGTGTGTTTCTAAATGGAACTAAGTGGAATAAGAATAGGACACGCGAGTTCTGCCTAATACCCTGGAACTAAGTGGAACTCAAAGTTATTTCCCTCATTACCCTTTTCCCCTTTACCCGGCTTCTTCACAAAACCTAACACAGCCTCCATCGCTCCTCCTCCATCGCTTCCTCATCGACGGCGACCAGGACCATCGACGGCGACCACGTCTGCGAGTTTCGATCGACGTTCATCTCTTCAAATCTGTTCCAATCGACGGTACGATTCTCTCCTCTCCATATCCAATTGAGGTTTTTCTCCTCTCCATATCCAATCTGTTCAACATTTTAGCACTTTGCGTTTGAAATTTTTGTTATAAGCTTACGATGGTCAAAAAATAAGGAACCGTATGGGTGTTTGCAGAAAAAATGATCAAGCAACCCATACCTAGGGTGGTTTCTTTGATTTACTTTTGGTATTTTGGTAGGTTGAAGTTGATGCATTTCTGTTGATGCATTTCTGTTTGCATTTCTGTGATATATGTGGTCAAGTTGATGCATTTCTGTTGATATATGTGGTCTGGTTTTGGGGATTTATAATCATCATAAGACCCTGTAAATAGTATTTGTAAGCATTTATTATATTGATTATTTAGTGAAAAAAAACACTAAACAGGTTACTGGGGGTAAATTGGTCATTTTAACCTGTCCTGTCATGTCTTACCAAATGCTGAACAGCTGTCCTGTCCTGTCTTGTCTTGCCCGCGCACCAAACGCACCCTTAGAGAATCTGGATTTCGTTGAAAGATTTGGGATATTTGGGGTGCATAATTTGTAGGATTTGAAAATTAGAAATAATTAATTACAAAAAGAACATTTTAGAACATTATTACAGACAAATTTTGTGAGATCTCATTAAATACCAACTACTTCCACGAGATTTCTAATTCCAACAAATCCTAGGATTTCAATATTGAATTTTGTTTCATTAAACCAAACGTGGGATTGGAATCAAATCCAATTCCAAATCCTACGAAACAAACATGTTAAATGACGTATGGTTTGATGGAATAGTTTTGAGAGATTTAGATTTCGTGGAAGAGTTTGGAATTAGAAAGTTTTGTAATCGTTGGTGTGTTTGGTTTGTAGGATTTTGATAGATTTAAATTCCATTATTAGTAAATAATTTATAAAAAAATAATTATCTTTTTATTGATTAATTACTACAAAACAAGTGCTTTGAACATATTTGAACATATTATTACATATAAATTCTATGAAATTTCGTGAAATACCAACCCCATGAGATTTTAATCCACAATGATTTCAATGAAGTCCTCGGATGTTAAGTTTAAGAAATTCTTCAAACTAAACATGAGATTAGAATGAAATTTAATTCCAAATCTTTCTAAATCCAATTCAATTTTGCAAACCAAACGAGATCTAAGAGTCTTTTAAACAATAAAAACAAAATATTTTATAACATAGTAGGATATGTAATTTATAGAGTAAACTCTAATTTTGTCTCCTGATGAGGTTTAGTGAAAAGTCTGAAAGTGGGACATGAAGCTTGATATATCTAGAAATTGTCCTTGTCCTTTGCATTTTGCTCTGGAAATGGTCCTTGATCACTAATTTTGTTAAGAAAATCATTTAGAGGGAAGGTCATTTCTGTCTTTTTATTGTTTGTCTTTTTTTCATTTTTTTATCTTTTATTCCTTTGGTTTTTTTCTTCTTATTTTCGTAAGAACTATCAAACTTTAGGGACCAACTCTGCAATTAACACACACACACACACACACACATATATATATAGAGAGAGAGCACTTGGTTCAAATGTTAACCAAGATTATTGTGTTAACTTTGTTAACCAAGCTCAACCAATGAAATCCATCTTTTATCTAGGTTTATACCCATCTCATAATTTAATGACAAGGGTAAATATGTAATTTTAGTTTGTATGTAACTGCCATATCATTAATTGAGAGCTACAAAATTAAAAAATCTCATACTTGTTGATTTACTATTGATCTTTTTTTTTCTATAATATTGATTTATCTATCTATATTGTTCTTGAATTTGTGATTGTTAAAGAAGACCGATAGTAAAAATGGTTTATGATGACAATCGGACTTCGAGTTCCGGAAGTGAAGACAATAATCAAAGCGTTTGTATTGGTAATGGATTAATATGTTATTGTATTCGTTTTAATCGAAATTATGTTGATTATGACGTTTTTGTGTTTTTTATAGTTCATATTGTGTTGGTAGTTTTTCTTTAATTATTACTACGAGCCCAATTCATTTGTTCAAATAGAATTAGTTCATCGTCAACTTAATTTGTTATGCAATCTAATTCTGATAACCATTCGGCTCCATCAGTTGCTTGTGATGCTTGACCTGCCATAGGCTGCAACTAGTGTTTATATACATTCAGGTGTGTTCATATATGTTCTAGTAGGGACATGAATCAAGGCATCTAATATTGAATTTATAATTTTTGTTAATTTATTATTGATCTTTTTTTTATAATATTGATTTTTCTATCTATAATGGTTTTGAATTTGTGATTGGTAGAAGAGACCCGGTAGTAAAGTTTTTGGTATCGTTCAAGCTATTATGGATAAACCGATTGTTCATAATAAAGAAACTATTGTTCACAAATGTTCATATTGTGTTCATATATACACTAGCTGCATATCTCAACATTGGCTCGCTCCTGAATGTGTTCATAATGAAGGAACTATTGTTCACAAGCTGTTTATATTGTGTTCGTATGTACATTAGTTGTATATCCCAACATCGGCTCGCTCTTGAATATGTTCATAATGAAAGAACTATTGTTCACAAGTGTTCATATGTACACTAACTGCATATCTCAACATTGGCTCGATCCTGAATGTGTTCATAATGAAGAAACTATTGTTCACAAGTTGTTCATATTGTGTTCATACATGTTTATTTATTTATT